AAAAAAAAAAAAAAAAAAAAAAAAAAAAAATTGCTCTCTGGACTTTACCTTCTGTGTGTACAATATTATTGAGTCAGAACAGTGCTTGGGTTTCCCACAGCTGTGATGGTTGATGTCCACCAATCAAATTTCACTTCATCTGCGTTGTGTTGCCACGAGTTGCCATCTTCATTATTTCACCTGCATGGTTTCCAGAGCCTCTTGACTCATCCTCTTCCATTCTGACCCCTCCGAACTGGGTCTCTTCATTCATTTATACCTTTTGTTCACATCACAGAAAGTCAAGGTCCCAAATGATTGCTTACAGTTCACACTAACATTTAGGGAAATAATCAGCAGATGAGAGTTGTGTCGTTTAATAAGCTCCAGGTGAGGGGAAGATTGTCCTAAACTCAAGAAAAAGGCTAGTGTTTAACTTCCTCTGTGTGTAGGATTAGTATATGTGCACATGTGTTTGTGCGTGCCTGTGTGCACTTGAAGAGGCCAGAAGGGAGTCCTATCACTCTCCCCTCTATTTCCTTAAAACAATATCTCACTGAACCTGGAAACAGGCTGGTGACCAGCAAGCCCCAGGTAAGCATGGCGCCATACCTGGTTTTTTTTTTTAATGGGGGCGTTAGGGATCTGAATTCAGGTCTTATGATTGCACAGTCATCACTCTTACTGGCTGACTCACCTCCCGTGTTCGCTGTGAAACAGGGTGTGTGTGTGTGTGTGTGTGTGTGTGTGTGTGTGTGTGTGTGTGTGTGTACACAAGAACACATGGAGGTCAGAGGACAACTTATGGAAATCAGTTCTCTCCTTCCACCATGTAGAATCCAGGGATCAAACTCAGGTTGTCAGCAAGCGCCCTTTCCAACTGAGCCATCTCACTGGCCCCTTTATACTTTTAATATGTTCATGGTAAAATCGTTTTCTAGGCAAGGCTAGGCTTTCATTGGTTCTTGTGCCTTCAGAGGAAAAAAGAGCAGACACTAAGAAGTTAAGTAAATGGAACTGGATCCTTTTCTGGGAAAACACAGAACCTGTGAGATCCAGTGTCAGCTTTCCCACTCACTGGGGTTACAAAGTTCCAGGAAAATGACTGGGATATGACCTCATGTCCCCTGAAAATGAATAGATCACACATGTTCAATCTCTAGTACCTGTGGCTACTTCTTGCCAAGAGGGTCCCTGGCTCACACACAGGTGAGATGATGTCATTCATGGCTGATTTGATCGAGGAGCAAGGAGCACAAATAACAACAAGACCAGGCCGTTATTGTTCAAACAGCAAGGTTTAGTTGTACAACACAAAGGCTAGCAACATTTACATGACCAGTCTGAGTGTCTGTTGGCTTGTTTTCAACTGGGAAATTAAACTTGGAATATCACCAAAACAGTGGCTGGGGACCAATAGCATTTTAAAAAACGGGTCATTCCTGCATCCTCTAGGCTCGGGCCTCTTGTTCCAACAGGACTTGTAGATGAATGGCCCACAAGTCACCAGCCTTTGAGCAAGTTGTATCCGGGTGGCGATGGCAGGTGAGGCGGCCAAGGCAGGGTTCCATAAAGACACAGTGTATGGGGGGGGGGGGCAGTGGCAGCCAACATTCGCAAACGTTCATGCATCTGATGAGGGCTCGGCCCTCCGTGGAGTATTTCCCATTAGCCTAGAGCGACCACCTGTGGTCAGGCTAGTGCATTGCTCACATTAATAGGGTGGGGAATGGGAGTAGGAATGGTCAGGGCAGGTGGGAAGAGATCCCTCTTATTGCTAAATGTACAAAGGGGTGCTATTTTTCTTCCTAGAGTGTATAGCTTGTAGGTTTGGGGTGGTTTGTGTGTGTGTGTGTGTTTAATTCACTTTTTTTTTTTTTAAGTTTGGGGATAAGGAAGTCAAACCCAGCAACATCTTTCCAGGAAAACCACTTCCCAAATGGCTGGTTTGGGGGGTAAACAGATTCTCTACACATACACACACACACACATACATACACACACTGGGCCAGCCACCAGTGGTGGTGTGTTGTTGTTTTTTTAAGTGAGGCTAGCTCTCTTGCTCCCCGACATCTGTAATGAATCACCCTTATAAATACCTTTAAGCAATGAAGGAGACACCCTTGTCCCACAGGAGGGCTCACACAGATGACTTTGACAAGCAGAAAAAAATTGCTTTCTTGACCGTTTGAGGGAGCCAAGAAGAGTACTCATGCAGATGAATGGCTAGGGAGCAATCCCGGTTCCCTTAAAGATGGTTACAAGTCGCTGGCATGGGCTTGCAAGGGCAGGAGAAGCTCTCGGTGAGTTCCTTCTCTCTGCGCATGGGCGGGGGGGGGGGGGGGGGGGCCGCTGACAGACGATGGAGCAGGGCAAGGCTGGCTGGCAGGAACTCCATTCCATTAGGAGGAGAGGAGTGGTTTGGCTACATGGAGGAAGCTACTATCCTACAGAGGCAGCTGGCCCCTCCCACCTGCTGAGGGTCTGAGCGGGGCTGTGGCGGTGGGCTGGACCAGCACAGCATTAAAAAGGGACCTGGCCCTGCAGCCATGGCAGCCGGAAGGAATGAGGGAGAAGCGGCGCTTGGAATGGCCTTCATTCAGCAGTGGGGCAGGGGGCAGCTGGTACAGGTGGAAGAACAGTGCCCAGGAGGCCTTCTCCCTGCAGGGGGAGTTGAGAACGGTTGAGGGTGTGGAGACCAGCAGCTCACAGCAGACACATAAAACAGCTTCTCTGGGGAGAGTGAGACCACAGCCGGGGGAGGGGGGTGGTGTTAGGCACCATTCTCCTACTTAGCCTGTCCAATGCCCACCATCCTTACCCCCTGATGGCTCTAGGCACCCAGTTCCATGTCACCACACGTGACAGTTCGCTGGAGTAGTCAGGGAACTCCATAACATGGCTGTCACCCTAGCCTGACAGGTGCCTACTCTGGAGTAACTGTATGGGGAAGTAGGGATGAGGAGTGAGGGCTGGATAGAGGGTAGAGCAGTCTCCAGGAGAGGCTAAGACCATAGGAGAGGGGTCACGTGATCTGATCATTCCCTCCTCTTTCATTTGGTCCACTGACTCATGGGTCTTCCATCTTTTTTGTTTTTTTCCTAGCACCTGAGTGATAAAGGACTGGGATTATAAATGCTGGCATTCAGTGAGGACCAGTTAAACACCCAGGCTGGACCAGGGAATGGGATAGTGGCTCAGACCAATTATAAACAGAATCCCTCGGTCGCTTCCCTTTCCTAAGGCCTAAACTGTTTTCCTTGAAGCAGCTTTAGAAACTACAGGAAGAAAAGCGTGTGTGCAAGGAGCAGCGGACGTGTGCATTAACTACTACAGGGCTGCTGAAAGAGGTAAGGGAAGGCTTAATGTCCGGCCACGGTGTTCCCGGGAACATCCATAGGATCAGAAGGCAGGAGAACTGGGTCAGGGGGAGAAGCCGAGAAAGACAGACAAATGAGAACGGAGAAAAATGAGTCAGGTTTCTATGAGGCGAAGCCAGCTTACCACAGAAAGAAGGCTCTAGAGAAAGGGAAACGTGTCCTAGAATGAGTCTCCAAAGCCCAGCCCCCTAAGAAATCCCATATATTTTTTCTGATATTTCAGAATTAGTTCGAAAACGTAACGTCCCCCGCTCACAAGTTGCCTCACTTGGCCAGTGTATGTGCCTCCTTGAACAGAACACTGGGGGCGGCCAGCCCAAGTTACCAAATTCCCCTGTTTGCCTAGGCTACTCCCACGGTCAGGGCAAATTTCAGTGTTCAGCTGCAGAAACTGACGTTTATATTCCCTATAGCTCTGATTTCTCTTCCAGTCTCAGTGGGTATTGTCCCATGCTTTTACTTGTGACTTTTAAAAATTATTTATTTATTTTTATCTTATGCATATGAGAGTTTGTCTCTGTGTATGTATGTATACATTATGCTCATGGCAGCTAAAAGAGGCCTTCTGATCCTCTGGAAGGGGAGTCATAAGTAGTCTTGAGCTGCCAAGTACATGCTGGGGACCGAACCTGGATCCTCTGCAAGAGTGGAAGTTGATCTTAAGCACAGAGGCATCTCTTCAGCCCCCTAGTTATAATTTTATTTCAGGGCAGCAGAAAGTCAATTTAGGAAGTAGGCTGGGTATGATTTCTAAATACAGAAACGAAGCTAATATAGATTACTCGAACAGGAAGTGAAAGGAAGAGACAGGCAGGAGAGATGGAGAATGTACGAACATATGAAGAAAGGAGGCTGGGGGAGGGGTGGAGAGCGAACTCGGGAAGAGGAGACAACCAACCAGCCTGAGATGGGAAGCGAACACAGAAAGCAGTGGTCTGTAATGGTGATGGCGCCGCTTGACAGTGACCTTGACATAGACCCAAGGGTGGAGCTCCATGTCCAGGCACTAATCCTGCAGGAACCCCCTCCACGTTCTTCTCTGCTCCCCATGACCTTTCTTTTCATTTTTCCAAGAAGTCCTAGCCTTCCTCTAGGCCACCCCAACTCACAGCGAAGGTTGTTCCGAACCCCGACACCCCACCACGGGCTAGCTCAGCCACCTGTCTGTGAAGAGTATTTGCAGCCCCAGTGTGTGGGTGGGTGGGTTAGAACTAAGAAAGAGTTTTCCTGTGGCTCACCTGCTCCCAGCATTTTAAAATAAAACCTTCCCCAGACCTCTTGCACGAGGTGTACAGCTTTGTGTTCCGAAGCACAAGAAAAAAGGAGACAGAATGGATAGTCATGGAGAAGGCAGACTAACAGAGAACTTTCCAGAAAGGGCAATGGAAATACCTCACCCCTGAGCACACACACTCAGGCACTCTCTCATACACACACACACACACACACACACACACACACACACACACACACACGACAAAATACTCCACAAATACCAGACAGGCCTGTGGGACAGAGCTGAAAGGAAAAGGTGGCTGGAGGTGGTGTCTGGGACATGTGTGTGTTTGGAGAATGTGGGATGTGTGACAGATAACACAGAGAAGGAGTCATCATGGATTACTGTCGTGGCTCTCCTCTGTGTCCACGCTCACCGGAGGGAGGCCTCCATTGTCATTGAGCCTCTTGGCCCTGTAAGTCTCATAGTGGATGTTGTGGGTTACTTCTTTGAGGTCCTGGAGGTGAGTCCTGAAGGACAGAGTAGAAAAGAGGAGGGGATGCAATTAAGGGTCGGAAGAAGAGGAAGAGATCCACCTCTGAGGCTAACACATCTCTCTGGCAGACCAGACTCAATGACTGGGCCCCACTCCTGAGGGCCAATGACACTTCTTCAACTCTTCCTTCACTGAGACAGGGGCTAGAACTGGGCCAGAAAGCTCTGTCAGAGAGACATGGGAACCCAGGACGTGAATCTGAGCAGATGGCCCTCAGTCCCAAATAATTAAACCTGCCCCCGGGGGAGAGGGAGCCCATCTTACCTGATGACGAAGTCTCGAAGCAGGGCAAACTCACAGTGGTTGAGGTTTTCCACTATGGATAAAACAGAAGAAAATGGGTGGCTGGCTCAGTAGCGCAGGGCCCAGAAGGTAAGGCAGCTTTAAAGAGAGCATGAGGTACTGGGCGGTGGTGGCACACACCGTTAGTCCCAGCACTCTCGAGGCAGAGGCAGGCAGATCTCAGAGTTCAAGGCCAGCCTGATCCACAGAGTGAGTTCCTGGACAGCCAGGGCTATACAGAGAAACCCTGTCTTGGAAAACCAGAAAGAGAAACAGGGGGGGGGGGGGTTCTAGACAGGTTCTTCAGTGGCCTGGTTCCCTTCCTTCTTTTCTTTTCTTTTCTTTTTTTTTTTTAAACTTTTTAATCAGGTATAAGGGACACAATACTATTCTAGACACTGTAGAATGAATCTCAATATAGACTGGTTTTGTCCCACATTTTACAAAAAACTAATGCGGGAGTTTAAAAAAAAACTTGTGAAGGCCTAAGATGATTGAAACAAAGTGAAACACACAGGACCTCATACATGAACCAGCTCTCAAAGGTCACACTCTATACAAAAAGCCCAGTTAACAGAGATGGAGAGACCGCTGTCTACAAACCACACACCAAGAACTGTGGGAACAGGAGGATAAGGCAAGACTCTGGTCTTACAATGTGTATATAACATTCCCATCACTATTTCTAATTCAAGGCGAACAATGCGATAATGCTACTTTGAAAACCCCGAGGTACTGGGTGTGGTGAGCACAGGCACTCACCAGGGCAATCCCAGCATGCGGGAGGAGGGGCAGGAGGATCACATGTTCAGGGCCAGCCATGGATACAGAGGAAAAACCTGTCTCCAAAACAAAACAAAACACTGGTTAGGGGCTGGCTCAATGTTTAAGAGCCACTGGACCTGGGTTCAGTTCCCAGCCTCCACATGGCAGCTCACAACTGTCTGTAACTCCAGTTCCCGGGTACCCAACCCCCTCACACCAATGCACATAAAATAAAAAATAAATTACATATTAAAAAAAAAAAAACACTAGTTAAGGATTTAGCTCAGTGGTAGCACACTTGTTTAGCACAGTAAGGCCCTGAGTTCTATGACCAGGACCACAAAAATTATTAACAATTAAACAATTCAGTACAGTGGAGTAAATCTCATCAAAATATCCAAATCTGAAGTTCAAGTTTCACTAGCGCGGGAAAAGCACTGGGTTTACTCTCCAGCACAGCGGCTGGTGGGGGGTGGGGACGGTGTGACCTTTGCAAAGCAAAGCATTTAACTTGTCTGAGATTCGTATTCTCAAGACGGGAACACCTGGCGCGCACTCCTTACAGGGCTACCATGTTGAATGAAGGGTTGTTTTCTCGGTCTGGTTTTGTCTGTACTGTGCAGGGGATCGAACCCAGGGCCTTGCACATGCTAAGCAAGAGCTCTATCACTGAGCTGCTACTCCCCATCCCTGAATGCTGTGGGATGGTCTGTATGTCAAATTACTCTGATTGATCAATAGATAAAACACTGATTGGCCAGTGGCTAGGCAGGAAGTATAGGCGGGACTAACAGAGAGGAGAAAAGAAAGAACAGGAAGGCAGAAGGAGTCACTGCCAGCCGCTGCCAGGACAAGCAGCATGTGAAGACACCGGTAAGCCACGA